CATGGATTGTGTCCATGGGATTGTGTGTCGGTCGCCTTGATTGTGTGGCTGGCCTCGCACCCGTGGCTACCTTTTGGCGATGCATTCGTGTCGTCGCCATCCGCCAGCAGCGGCCCTTTTGCCTCGGTCAGACTCTCAGCGAGCAGGTCCTTGAGCGACCCGCGCGTGAAGCTGATGCACTGACGCATGGGGTCATCGTCCACACATGCGCCGCCGCGAGGACTCAAGGGGGCGGGAGAAGGAACGCAGTCCTCCTGGGATGCGCTGCAGCCCTGCAACATCCCCAGTGGATTCGGTCCGCGAGTGAAGGCGTCCCGCGGCGACTGGAGTCGAGCCATTGTGCTACTGCTGATCGGTGTGTAGACTTCTTGTTGATGGGAGTTAGGGTAAGAAGAGTGCCTAAAACAATAGAGGGAGGGAGGGCCGCCTCTTGGACACTGACGATGAATGATGGCGTCTCAATGCACGCGGGAAACCGCCAGCTTGGCGAGATTCTCGCGACGAGGAGACAAACCGCCCATCCAAGCGGCGGAACTTCGTGCCTTTTGTTTCTCAGGCGTCAATTTCGCTGGACTGTCTTAGCTCCGGGCAGCCACAAGCGGCAGCATCAGAGGACCATCCGGCCAGTGACGCCCCACCGGCCCGGCGAGAGGCTACCGCGCAGGAGGCCGTGACACTGCGGCAGGAGCAGTAGCAGACTGTTGACGTTGTGTGCCTGCCTGTATGTTGCCGTCGTTCGCAGCGCATTGCATATCCTCCCGTTTGCTGCATCTGCCCTCTGCGTGCTGCGTGTTGCGTGTCCGGGTTGCATGTTCGGGTGCGTGTTTTCATGTTGGACAGACCGACAGGGGACTTGGCCGCCAGGCCGCCTAGGGTGCTCTCTGAAACCGCTGCTGTTGACGACCATGAGGGGGCTCCCACTGCTCCCATGGCTGAGGAGCAAGTCAAAGGCCTACCACCTGGCCACCATCAAGATGGCGGGGTTGTCGGGTCAGCCGGGCTGCCAGCACTAATCGGCAGGGGATCGAGACAGCAGCAAAGTCGCCGGTGTCTCCTGTGCGAGTTCCGGCTTGCTCCAAGCGCAGCACACCCACCAAGCCGCGTACCAGCACTGTTACGAATGCCAAGCGGCCCGCACCCAAGCAGTCTGCGGCTCGGACAGTGCATACGACAGGCGATAGCTGCGGCGACCTGCAGCGTCCTGCGTTGCTTACACCCAATCGCATGCCATCGCAGCAGCACTTGGGAGGGGCCGCCCACGACAGGGCTTGTCAGCCGAAGCGCAACTTCATAAAGGAGAACATGCTGGCTGTGTCAAAGCGGGGCGAGAAGGGTGAACAGGAGACTGGTGCTGGCGCAAGGTACGTCAGCCACTGCATTCCACCCACGCCGATGGATAATCAGTCAGAAAAGGAAGGAGGCCGACCCGCACACATACCTGACCTGCATGTGTTGTGCGTAATTGGCTTGTGCCTGCAGGGTGCGCACGAGGCCGGCGGGCACCAAATGACAAGAGATCTGATGCGCGGTGGTGGACAGATGGATGGACGGCTGTCGCGGTGTGATGCGAGTCGGGTCGGTGGTGTGATACGAGTGGCCTCCTCTGGCGGACTGACTAGCTTGGCTTGGTGGATCTGTGTGTGAGCGTGACTCGTGTGTGCGTATGACTGACTGACGGGGACCCACTGACTGACTTGTGCGTGCCGTACATCCGTGTGAATGATGCAGACATATTCATGAGGAAAGCAAAGCAGGGAGGGAGGGAGAGAGGCAACAGACCGGTAGGAGGTGTGCAAAGACAGAGAGAGAGGGAGAGGGGAGGGGCACCTGCCTGATGTTGACTTGATGTAGATAATCATGTGTGCAGGCCGTGTTGATTGATATTGGCCAGACAGGACCATGCTCAACTTGTCGCTCAGCTTGTCTTTCAGGCACGGCTGCAGTGCAGCTTGACTTGGCTGCCCTGCCACTTGTCATTCATCTCATCTATCACTGCTGTCACAGTGATAGTACACGCACTTGCAGATCAGATCCCTCCGCCCGTCGAATGCATTCATCACACCCTCGTAGCACCTGCACACACATGCGACACACATGGGCAAGCACCCACTCCATGTGCATATGGCTACCTTTGAGCATTGGTCGGTGTCTGGTGACGCGGCCGCTCATCTTTTTCTGGCCCACCAGCACATTCGGGACGTACCCGCTCGCCCTGAAGACACCAACACACAGACAGAACAGACACCCAGCGCCATGTCGCCTGCGAGTGTGAGGCATACGCACATGTATGAGAAGAGAGGCTCGGCGGCACCGCTCTTGGCGTCGAAGAGTGCTGCGTATTTGGACTTTGTCTGCTGCAGCTGTGTGGCCATGTCAGGGTCATCTTGCTCATCGACAGGCTGCCACTGATTCTGCAGCACGATCCCGCCAGGCTTGAGAGAGCGCTCAACCTAACACAACAGACATTGGATGGACGACGACATGATGTCTTCTCTATTGAGCTTCTTCCGTCCCACCAGGCCGAGGAACTCCGTGTCTCTGCATTGTTCTGGCACATGGTTGTCCTGCTTGAAGCAGTCCACGATTACAGCATCGTACACCTGTACGTGTAGCAAGAGACACAGGAAACTTTCGTCCATCCATTCGTCCATCCATCCATCTGTCCCTGCCTGGTTGTTTGTGTCTCTGAGGGCGTCGACGCCTGTCTTGACATAGATGGTGCCGCCGGGCGACGGCTTCAGGCCAAAAAAGTGCTTCGCCACCGACACAACCCCTGCACAACCGACACACGGGAACACACGTATGGCGGGAGCCGGGAGAGGGATTTACTCTCGTCTGGTTCGACAGCATCGACTGTGAGGGATTTGCCGGCACAATCGATGCCAGACAGCGACGAGTACAGCGCTGCATGCCATGCCACACACACCAAGACAGGGATGCGGATATATATGCAATCAATGTCTCCCTCTTTCTCGCTCACCTCCACCGCCCAGTCCGATCACCATGACTCGTGGCTCGCCGTCCTTCGGTGTTCGTGTGTTGCAGTGTCCTCTCACGACTTCATACATGCGCTGGTACAGCAAGTTGGGCGGCGGCGAGTCGGCAGCTGCACCACACACATAGACAGAGACATAAAGAGGCCGCACTCACTCTGTGCGATGCCATGTGTGCTTACGGATTGTGCATTGGCATTCTTTGGCACATCCGTTCTTTGGCACATCCGTCGGCCTGCTGGTCGCCGCCGAGCTGGCATGAATTGAGGTCGAAGTCGCCCTCACACCTCACTGCTGTCTGCACGCCTGTTGGCGGCAGAAATGAGAGAAACCGCTCGTTGGTGTCTGTGTCTGCCTGGACCAGCACGGGGTATGGTTGTGTGTTGATGGTGCAGATGTCGACCAGAGACCCGTGAGTGGCCGTCAGGGAGAAGGCGAGCAGAGAGAGACACAAGGCGAGAGGCGACATGACCGACGAGTGGATGGACAGATGGATGGCCAGATGGATGTGAGGTGCTTTGGTTGATTCACACACTCGTCTGTCTGTGTCTCTCTCCCTCTCAGTCAGTCACATGTGCGATCGATGCAATCATGTATTCGTCCATGTACATGTATTCACATGATCGATATCTCTCAGCTGATGTGTCTGGTGTGTGGTGTGTGGTGTGCCCTCCCTCCCGGCCCCTCCCTCTATCCCTCACTCATTCATTCCATTCACAGCACGCACACAATCACATCAGCACAAGCACAAACAATACAGACAAAACAAAACCGCTGGCTGCTGCATCGTCATCATCGAATTGTCACGACCACAGGACACCCGTCCATCGACGAGGTAGGTCTCTTGATTAAAAGTCGGCGTGTCCGGGGTATCTCGGGAATGGAATCACGTCGCGGATGTTGTCAACACCAGTCACGAGCATGATCAACCTGACACACACACACACACACACACCCACAACCACAACCATACCACTCTCTCTCTCTCTCTGTCATCTGTGTGATCCGTGTGTGTGCCTGTGGGTGGCAGGTTCACCTTTCGAAGCCCAGCCCAAAGCCTGCGTGTGGGACGGAGCCGTACTTGCGCAAGTCACGATACCACCAGTAGCTCTCGAGGGGCAAGCCCTGCAGCCACACAGACACACACAGGGAGAGAGGACACACATCAATGCCGTTCGTGTGGGTGGGAGCTGACTCGGCGTGCGATTGCTCACCATGTCCTTGATGCGTCTGTCCAGAACGTCTAGTCGTTCCTCCCTCTGCGACCCGCCGATGACCTCTCCGATTTTTGGCAGCAGGACGTCCATGGCGGCCACCGTCCGGTCGTCATTATTCAGACGCATGTAAAACGCCTTTATCTCCTTCGGATAGTTGTAGACGGTGACGGGCTGCTTGTACACCTGCTCTGTCAGATAGCGCTCTGCACACACACACACACACAGACACACACACCAAGACAGCATTTCACGCCATCAATACGCCCCCCTGCAGTCAGTGCTCACCGTGTTCAGAGCCGAGGTCCATGCCCCACTGCTCGGGCTTCTCCTGGAACTTGCTCTTGTGCTTCTGTAGTGCACACACACAATACACGCACAACATACACACAACATGCCTGGCTGTCTGGTCGATTGCTGGCGACATTCTCTCACTGACCTGTAGGATTTCGAATGCCTCTGTGTAGGTGATGCGGACAAACGGGCTATTGACGATGTGACGCAGTCTGTCAACCAGGCCCTTCTCGACGCGCAAGTCAAAGAACTCCTGCAGCCATACAATACATGCCATGGACCCATGCACAACCACGCCAGTGCTCGTAAGTGTCGTGTGTCCATACGTCTCACTGGGGGTGAGAGTGTGTGTAGTGTGTAGCCCACCCCACCCACCCACGTACCAGGTCCGCCATGCAGTTGTCGAGTACCCACTGGACGCAGTATTTGACGTAGGCCTCCGCGCAGTCCATGTCTTGCTGCAAATCGGCAAAGGCCATCTCGGGCTCGATCATCCAAAACTACACACACACACACCGCAGACACCCACAGCTTGTGTGTGTGCATGACGCCACTTGATCCATCCATCCACTCGGCTATCGTATTGACGTACGTACCTCAGCGAGGTGTCTGGAAGTGTTGGAATTCTCGGCTCTGAAGGTCGGCCCGAATGTGTAGACGTCGGACAACGCACACGCATAGTTCTGACACACAGGAGGGATCACCGGCAGGCAAGGCAGGTGATGCGTGTGGCCCTCCCTGCGTTGTGATGTTTTCTGTCTGATCTGTTCGCATGGCTCAGTCACCTCGACAGCGAGCTGTCCGGAGACAGTGAGGAAGGCCGGCTTGCCGAAGAAGTCCTTCGAGTAGTCAATCCTACACAGAACACAACGCGCACACACACGTCACACGAATGAATGATTGATGACTTCGGGGGCCGGCGGTCAGATGTCGGTGGGTTGTTTCCGCTCACTTTTGTTCCTTGTCGACTGGCGCATTGCCTTTCTCGCCCACCTTGGGCAGCACAGTCGTCACCTTCTCACACACCACACACCACACCACACCAAACACACCACACCAAACACACCACACCAAACACACCACACCAAACACACCACACCAAACACACCACATTGCAGCAAAACAGCCACTGGATCCTCCCTCCCTCTCTCCGCCCTGTCTGTTTGTCTGTCGATCTGTCTGTCTGTCTGTCTGTCTGTCTGTCCCACCTGGAACATCTCTCCTGCCCCCTCGCAGTCACAGCACGTGATAAGAGGGGTGTGGATGTACAGAAACCCACGGTCCTGCAGACAACACGAGAGGCCATTCGTCAATAATATATGGTGTGGGGTTGTTAATTCTGTCCATGCCATCCATGTATCTGATCTGATCTGTACCTGGAAGAATCGGTGTGTGGCCATGGCGAGGGCAGACCTCACACGGGCGACGGCGCCAATCAGGTTGGACCGAGGACGCAAGTGGCTGGCAGCACGCACAACAGACGACAGGAAGGACGGTCGGTGCGCAACTCTTGTGCATCTTCCCAATGTGGCTGTCTCGCTCACCCGATCTCTCTCAGGAATTCCCGCGAGTGCTGCTTCTTGGAGAGGGGGTACGCACCCGCGTCCGCCTCTGTGACGAAAGAAACGGCACGCAACACATATGCCATGCCGTGGGTGGCGCCACCTCATTTCTCTCTGTGTGTGTGTGTGTATTCCTGACCTCCGAGGATGGTCATTGTGTGTGCGTTGGGGTCCTTGACGGCCAGCTCCACAGCCTGACCCTTGGCAGGAGACTCGACAATCGTACCCACAAATCTGCACACCACACCACACCACATCACATCATGTCACACAACGTCGACCACTGACACATTCCCCCATCTCTCCGTGTGGGGTACCTGAAGCTGCACCCAGCGCCGCATTTGAGTAGCTTGTCGAATCCCGCGACGGCCTTGTCGACGACGACCTGCAGGCTCTTGAGGCAGGAGCCGTCGTTGAGTTCGACGAAGCAGAAGGTGCCGCCGCCCTGCTTGCGGATGGTGCGGCTCCACCCACACACGGTGATGAGCTTCCCAACCCACGACGCACCCATGTCCTCAGACGCAACCAACACACTCACGCGCACTCGGCCACCGAAGCTGCAGACAGCACCCGACGCAATCGACTCACTGCACCCCGTCGCTTTGCCCTTGGGTCTGTCTGTATTCACCTGAAGCTGGCTTGTGGAACCTTGTGGTTCGTGTCCTGTATGAGGCCGGCGACGGCACTAGGGCCATCCGCCGCAAAGGGGGTCGATCCAGTGCCGTTGGTCACGAGGGTGCCGTTGGCCATCCCGATCCCGCCTACACCACTACCAGCAGCAGCGGCAGCAGCAGGAGCAACAGGGACGGGAGCCGCTGCTGCTGCTGCTGCTGCTGATGGCTTGGATGGCTTGGCCGACGGCTGGCTCGTGGGCGCAAGGGCCGCTGCAGCAGTGGAGGCAGCGGCGGCAGGTGCTGGCTCGTCATCAAACTGACACATGATAAGACAATCTGCTGGTGAGAGGGGTAGAGAGGAAGTGTGGGTGGTGTTGATTCCCTACCTGTGGTGCCCAGTGCAATACGGTGTTGAACCAGCGGAACACACAGGGGTAGTCCTTCCGCCGCTCGGCCTCCAGGTACTGACAACAAACAAGAGAGAGAGAGAGAGAGAGAGAGAGAGGTGAGAAGCCATCCATCCATCCATCCATCCATTGGTGGTCCAGTCGTCGCGTCAGTCGAGTCAGTCAGTTACGTACCTTGAAGAGCTCGTATGCGGAGAAGGACAGCGAGATGTCCGCTATGGTGAGGGTGTAGCCCACAAGAAATGTCCGCGGACGCATGTGCTCGTTCAAATACTCTGAGTCACAGCACAGCAGCACACCCATTGCACAAACCAAATGCTCTCACCCATGGGTGGTCGGCCACTCACCCAGTAGTTTCTTGACCTCGTCTGAGGCCGCCAGCCGCCTCAGGACGGCCTGCCCCCGCGCACTGTCGCTCTGTGACGGCTGCTTCTTGGCCTGCTCGACGTGGTAGGTGCGGAGGAGGTAGTCGACGTGCTTGTCGGTCCAGTCGAGCCACTGGTCCACCTCAGCCTGCAACACCCACCACCATGGACAACTTTTCTTGTGTGTGTGTGCGTGTGTGTGTGTGTGTGTGTGTGGTTACCGTGTTGGCGAAGGTCTCGCCATAGAGCTGCTTGCTGGGCATCACACCAGCAACTGACAAATAGGGAAAAGAGCCACACAACAGCGATATGTCGTCATCGCACCGCCCACCCACTCACTCACCGTATCTGAGGATGCTGTTGACGTACGACAGCTCGTAACCATCAGGAAGCTCCAGCTTCGGGATCTGTGTCACAATAGACGACAGAACGACACGCAAAATTCCACCCTCCTCAGTTACACTGATCGTGTCACAGCAACACACATGACCGTACCTCGAAGCCGCCGGTGGACTGAGTCAGTGACGAGGCGGTCGGCGCCGCCGGTGGCTCCACCTCCACTGCCAGACCGACATAACGCGCCGCTGACAAGATCTTGCGGGCGGCCAGACTGCCCGCACTCGCTCGAAGCTTCTGAAGCAAGCAATCATACATAGGCAGAGAGAGAGGGTGACACACTGACTGACATGGATGTCTGGTAAGTAATGCTTGTGTGTCCTCTGCTTGCACCCACCATTGTCGTGTTTCTGTTGATCGGGCCAGCCAGTCAAGATCTCCCACTCATGGATAAACAGCCTTCGCACGAAAGCTGTTTCGTCTCGAATTAAACAACGCCTTGGCACCAGCGACAGCAGAACACGTCCAGTCCCCTGTCGTTTGGGGTTTTCTCCTATGCGAGCTACGCTTGCAGCGCTCGCATGGTCTTCGAGCTTGTTTGTGGTAGAAGGGAGTGCAGAGGCCTTGGATATCACCGAGGAAGGGCACCTGGATCTGCAGCTTTTGGTAGACAGGCCACAGAGGTGCGTTGAGATCATATCTTGGTCTTCAGCGGCTGCCGGCCTTCTCCGCCATGTCAGTCCTCATTGTGCTCTTCCGCAACGACCTCCGCCTCCACGTAAGCACACTGCAAGGCAAGGAGCCACACACTACACTGGGCTGGCTGATCCCTGTGCATTGATTGCAATACAGGACAACGAGGTGTTGCAGAGGGCTGTGTCGTCAGCCGCCGACCACGTCCTCCCCCTCTACTGGTGGGCACATAGACATGCAGGCCATGCAGGCCTTGGCACACACAGTCAGACGGGCTGTCATCTGGTCTGGCTGGCCATGGTGTGGTGTGTGACGATTATCAGTTTTGACCCCCGCCACTTTGCCAAGACGCACTGGTTCGGTTTCCCCCGTGTGTCGCCGCTGCGGTACCGCTTCCTCACGCAGAGCGTCTCGGACCTGCAGAAGAACCTCAGGAACAGGGGCAGTGGTGAGTGAGTGTGATGGAGATGGATGGCCACCACCCCATGTCATGTGTGTGTTGTGTGCCTGTGTGATGGGATGGCTGTGTGGTGTGCGGGTGCAGGTTTGTTGGTTCGCGTTGGGGCGCCTGAGGAGGTGGTGCCTGCGTTGGCCAAGCAGCTGGGTGGCAGTGCGACAGTCAAGGGCGTCCACCTGCATGAAGAGATCTGTGTAGGCAGGGGAGAGACAAGAGAAGCCACACCACAACAAACAGTAGCTAGCTATCGCTTCACGTCTTTCCTCCCTCTCTCGATGTGTGGGTGGGCGGATGCAGAGTGAGGAGCGGGGCGTTGAGCGGAGCCTGGCGTCAGAGCTGAAGGGACTCGGCATCCCCATCACCAAGTCAGCGAGACCTGTGGTGCTGGTCCTCACACTCCCACCCACCATCCCCTGTCTGTCTGTCTGTCTGTCTGTCTGTCTGCACACATCTATCTATCTTATCTCAAGGTGTTGGGGCAGCACCCTCGTCCACCGAGACGACCTGCCCTTCCCACCCACGCAGTTGCCAGACGTCTACACGCAGTTCCGCAAACGAGTCGAGTCGTCATGCGACATCTGCCCCGTTGTGGAGCTGCCCCAGCAGCTCAAGCCCCTCCCGCCAGCCATCGCAGCCGAGGAGGCCGCCAGCGCCGTCCCGCCCGCATCGCAGTTTGGCATCAGCGAGGCTCCTGTGGACCAGAGGGGGGTTTTGCCGTTTCAGGGAGGGGAGACCGCCGCACTCAGCCGTCTGGACGGTGAGAGACCAGCCTGTTGGGAAACTTGTCCTGTGGTGTCCATCTGTGGTGGCGCGCGTGTGTTGTGTTGTGTTTGCGTGTTGTGCAGAGTATTTCTTCAAGGCTGACTGCTTGAAGGACTACAAGCAGACGAGGAACGGGCTGGTGGGTGCCAACTACAGCAGCAAGTTCTCCCCCTGGCTGGCACTGGGCTGTCTGTCGCCCCGACACGTCTACCACAAGGTCAAGGAATACGAGAGGCAGCGAGTCGCCAACGACAGCACGGTGAGGGGAGAGACCGACATGCATAATACACACACCCACTCACGAACGAAGACACATGCGGGCGCTGGCTGAATGTGGGAGTGGAGTGCCTCCTCATCGTGCGCCTGGATGTCTGTCTGTCTGTCTGTCTGCAGTACTGGTTGATTTTCGAGTTGCTCTGGCGCGACTACTTCAAGTTTATCGGCGTCAAGTTCGGCACCAAGCTGTTCCAGGCGGACGGTAAGCCTTCCAATCACACAAACACCATACAACAAATGCGCACAGTGTCTGTGCTGTGCTGTGCTGTGGATGCACCGCGTTGCCCCCTCCCTCCCTCCCTCCCTGTGTCAGGTCTCATGGGCAAGCAGGTCAAATGGCGCACCAACCGAAACGCGTTCGAGGTACACACACACACACACACACACACACAGGGGGTATATTTTTGCGTGTTGGTCAGGCCTGGCGCGACGGGCGCACTGGTGTGCCTTTCATCGACGCCAACATGCGTGAGCTGCGGGCGACGGGCTACATGAGCAACAGGGGCAGGCAGAACGTCGCCTCGTTCCTCACGAAGGACCTCACCCTCGACTGGCGCCTGGGGGCGGAGGTGTTCGAGGCAGAGCTGCTGGATCACGAGCCAACCGCCAACTACGGTGCGGTGAGGGGGAAGGAGGATG